ATCTATCTATCTATCTATCTATCTATCTATCTATCTATCTATCTATCTATCTATCTATCTATCTATCTATCTATCTATCTATCTATGCCAGGCTCCCTAGCGTAGTTGGCTAAACCGGATTGATCGTTGACCGGGTGACCAACTCCTTGTGGTCCGGGTTCACTCCCGGGGGTAGGCAGAAAAGTCCAATTTCTCCCAAATTTACGGTATTTACAACGGAATCAAGGCGGACAGGTTGCGATATTCATAATACCGAGCCTAAGGGCTAACAGATTATGGCTTCTAGATTCACAAACAAACAAAAAAAAAAAAAAAAAACATCTATCTATCTATCCATCCATCCATCCATCCATCCATCCATCCATCCATCCATCCATCCATCCATCCATCCATCCATCCATCCATCCATCCATCCATCCATCCATCCATCCATCCATCTATCCATCTATCCATCTATCTATCTATCTATCTATCTATCTATCTATCTATCTATCTATCTATCTATCTATCTATCTATCTATCTATCTATCTATCTATCTATCTATCTATCTATCTATCTATCTATCTATCTATCTATCTATCTATCTATCTATCTATCTAATCTATCTATCTATCTTTCATATTTATGGCATTGTGGTGCTGGGGTGTCTCTGAATTACATCCCTCCCCGGACAGCAGCTAGAAATGCCCTGTACCAGTTCTAAAGGAAATATGGGTTGTGTTTCCGCTTTTTCCTTTAACACGTAGCTGAGGTGGGGCTGATAGTGAGTTCAATCCCCGCCACCAGATTGCCTGCAGGTTTCGCTGAGCTCTTCTTGGCTCTAAGCATGGCCTAAGCATGAGTAGTTGGGGCAACTGGATCGTCTCGACCTGAGTCCCTGTGCCTTCACGATAGTTTCCGTTATTCAGGGAGCTAGCATACTTGTTTCCACTTCTAAGACTGTTCAGCACCCCTCCGGCTCCTTCCCTCCCACAGGGGGCAGTACGGTATGGTGTACCGGGTATTTTATCGAGGTTTGCTCCTCTAGATCCATTGTGTTTTGCCTGGGGATTCGCACCAAGGTTACGAGGACTACCTCAGGGAGGGTGTGGGTCTTCGCCACGCACAGTGGTCTGGGCGTAAGAGAGGTTATGCTAGGTCAAGAGGCTGACACCGCAATGGACGCTCCTTTCATGAACAGATATTCACTAGACCTAGGGTGAAGTAAGGGGGGAAAACCACTACCCACAACAATTCTTACCCCCTGTTAACAGAGCAGGCAAACGCACAGAATTTGATAGAATACAGCTATCTCAGTTAAAGAAACAAGAGAGAGCTCCAATAGCCTATGACTCCTTTAAGATGAGTTTAGCATGAATGAATTAGAACAAGCCCTGAAGAAATAAAAATCTAGAAAATCCCCAGGTCCAGATAAGATTCACGTCGAAATGCTGCTACATCTTGGCCGGTCTGGCAGAGAATTAGTTCTCAGGCTAATTAAAAAGACATGGAGATCAGGTAAACTACCAAAGTCATGGAGGAATGCATATATCGTCCCCATACTTAAAACAAATCAGCCTCCAGACGACCCAAAAAGCAATCGGCGGATATCCTTAACATCATGCTTGGGCAAAGTTGCCGAAAGAATGATAAACAGGCGTTTGTACTGGTTCCTAGAGAGTTCTGGTGTTCTATGCCATGAACAGGCAGGCTTCAGAACCAACAGCTGTTCAAAGACCAGCTGTTCAGATTGACACAAAAAATACATGACGGTTTCCAGAATAAGAAGTATACAGTGGCCATCTTTGTCGACCCCCCCCCCCCTCCCACCCTTAACAGGCCTTTGACAGAGTACGGAGGAAAGGCCTCCTGATGAAGATGATGAGCATAGGAACATATGGCAGGCTGTATAGCAGTGTGAAATATTTTCTGATAGGTAGAACAATCCAGACTAAGATACACAACGCAATCTCATCTAAAGAAGTCTTAGAGGAGGGCTTGCCACAAGGCTCATCATTGAGCTGTTCACTGTTTCTAATCTTTATCACTGACTTGCCAGAACAAATCAAGGCCGAAAAAGCCTTGTACGCTGATGATCTAGCAATATAGCAGAGTCATGAAAATATTGAAAATGGAGCCCAAAGACTTAATGGAGACATTAGAAGACTGCATGAGTACTGCCAAAGATGGTAACTCAAGGTTAACTATACAAAGACGGTCTACACAAGCTTTACCAAAATCCATCAAGGAGCAAGGAAGAATATTAACCTAAGGTTAGACAGGCACCACGTGATGAAAGAAGAGCACCCTACATATCCTAGAGTCACACTTGACCGGCAGCTGAGCCTCAAGAATCATATTGAAAACATAAGGAATAAGGCATTGAGGCGGTTGCAGTTATTGAAGAGACTTACAGGTACAGCTTGGGGATCAGACAAGGAAACGCTGAGGGGCTTGTATCTCGGATTTGTTCGCTCTGTGATAGAGTATAACAACTCGCTGCTTGCAACCTGCTCCAAGACAAACCTAGAGTCTCTCGACAGAGTACAAAATAATGCCCCCCGATTAATCAGCGGAGCTATGCGGTCTACTCCAACTGCTGCATGTGAAATCCATACAAATGTGGAAACCCTTGGGTTGCGAAGAGAAAAAGCCACTTTAGAAATATATGAAAGATGTATTAGAAGGTATCGTAACCATCCTAATAGACACCTTATAGAAAGTTGGGAATACAAACAAAGAATAAAGTACAAATCGGTTTTACACTGTGTACATGAGGCACAGGGCAGATACCACCTCCCAGAAAGACGTCAGGAATGTTGCAAGAAACTTACCACCACATGTTCGCTTTAAAGCTCTAGACGTCAGGTTGAAATTGGTAGACGAAGAAACTAAATAGTCCGATCCAATCAGCCTTATGAACTCATCACTAAAGACCATTGATTCTTACCCCAAAGAATGGATACATGTTTATACTGACTTATCTGCATTCAAAGCCACCATTAAAGCAGGTTACGGAATCTACATAGGTTACCCTGATGGATCTAGTGAAGAGATATTTGATGCGTGCGGGGAATTCTGCTCAAATTATGAAGCTGAAATAGTCGCACTGGAAACAGCAGTATACCATCTAAAGACTTTAAGGGATGTTTATCCTTCAAAGGCCCAACATTTTGTCATCTTCACTGCTCTTCAATCTCTGGAGGGCAGTGAACGCTGCAGAACTGACATAGCTAAGATAATTATAGATGCTGATCAGCTCATTACCTCATACAACATCAGAATAGTTATGCAGTGGATTCCAGGCCACTCCGGCACACCAGGTAATGACAGAGCTGACATACTGGCAAAGAAAGGAGCAACTCAAGAACAACCACCTACAGCGACAACCCTACAGACAACAAAAACACTTATAAAAGCTATAAACAAAGAGACTTGGCTGAAAAGATGGGCCATGCGAGATACTGGAAGAGAGGTTTATAGACACATGGCTAGCCATGAGTCTAATGACAGCATTAAACATCTAACAAGAAGGGGCCAGGCCACCATCTTCAGACTCGGAACACAGCATACTACACTCAATGGACACCTAAACAGAATACAGCCACAACACTCCCCAGAGTGCCAGCTATGTAACTACCCCTACGAAACTGTGGACCATCATCTCTTTGAGTGCCCAAAACTCAACGAGACTAGAAGAATGCTATTCCCTCCGTGACCAGACAGGTGGAACACCTTGTACGGAGGAAAAGAACAGCTTGTGAAAACATGTAAATTCCACTAATTGACATTGGGCCAAAGGGCGAAAGCTCATGCACCGCTGGATCAATAACAACAACGTCTGTCTGTCTGTCTGTCTGTCTGTCTGTCTGTCTGTCTGTCTGTCTGTCTGTCTGTCTGTCTGTCTGTCTGTCTGTCTGTCTGTACGTCCGTTTGTTCATGCTTTCGTTCGTCCGTGCGTCTTCTGTCTGTTTGTCTGTCTGTCCGTCCGTTCGTCCGTCTTTCTGTATGTCTGTATCTGTAGGAAGAACATCACACACACACACACACACACACACACACACACACACACACACACACACACAGAACTCTGTGCACCAGCGGTACCCCACACAGATATCAGAGATAAATGTATCTCTATGAACCGAATGACAAACTAAAAGCGAACCCAGCCATTCATAGCTGGGGTCACACAGCTTGACCTCTTCAGCAGGGCCAGCTATCGGTGTTTATGTGAAACCGATTGATGGACGCCTTTTTGTGACATCTCAGGCTAGCGGTGTTAAAGTTTTCTTGAATGGGCTAGCGGTGTTAAAGTTATCTTGAATGGGCTAGTGGTGTTAAAGTTATCTTGAATGGGCTAGCGGTGTTAAAGTTATCTTGAATGGGCTAGCGGTGTTAAAGTTATCTTGAATGGGCTAGCGGTGTTAAAGTTATCTTGAAGGGTAACTATAGGCTTGCATTTGATGGTAAAACTAGTAGAATAGGGAGTCGCCGTGGCGGAGCGGCTAGACGCTTGCCCTCTGATCGGAAGATCGTGGGTTAGCTCATAGGCAGACTGACTTTTTTCAAAAAATGACCTTGGCTCCCAGGTCGACCCAGCCTTTAGTGGGTACTGGGTGCAGTCCTGGAAAGTAGAGGCGGCCGGCGTGATGCTTCCCACATCACCAATCTTGTGCTGATTGGTAAATAAAATTATAGGTCTAGCCCTATATGCCTTATACGTCTAAATACGTGGAAAAGGGTCATTTACTTTACTTATAATTGAATTAAAGACGTGGTGTTACAATCATAACAGGGCGTGACAACGAAAACATGATCTGACGGTGAAAACCTAATGTGAGTGTGATAACACAGTGTAGACATGATTACAGTGTGAAGGAGAAAAACATACTGTGAATTGATCACACAGTGTAGGGACGATAACAGTCTGTGAAAGTGAAAACATCTTGGTAAGTTTCGTGGTGCTGGCGATTCTAGAGCCGGTAACTGCTATCTAAAGATCACATGTGTGTTCCAGTGCACTCTGCTCCCATGGAGAAAGTGCTGGCACGACACCTTTTGGAGCGGTACGAGCAAGTGGGTCGAATGGGCCGACCTGTGATGGAGGCAACGGACACGATGGTGGTCAACTTCAGTTTGTCTCTGATCCAGATCCTAGACGTGGATGAGAAGAATCAAGTCTTCAAAACCAATATTTGGTACCACTATGTGAGTCAAGTGATCACTGTCTGTCTTTCTGTTATCACCTTTATCATTTCCTTGTCTTCATAGTCACCATCTTATCATCATCATAATCATCATTCTAATCGTCACCATCATGCTCATGAACACTATTCTCATCCACATCTTCGTTATTTATATCATGTCGCAGTCATCAACACCATCGTTATTATTGTCCACCACTTCTTGCTCTACTTACAATTAAAATGCAATGTTAAATTATATAGTTTATTATGAAAGCGAAAACCACGGTAGGTGAAAGTCCTTAATGTATGTTGCTTCCTATGTTGTTTGGGCTTAGTTACATGCAATGTATCCACGACTTAGGAGATGTAGCATAATCCTATATTCTCTGTAGCCACATAGGTTACCTGTTTGCCCTTGCCATTAAGGTCATAGATTTGTTCCTTTAACCGTATCGTTCAGTTAACGATCAGTGCTGACATATGAGATTCCTTTGTCAGAGCTACTGAGTTCGTTATTTATGTGACGCACTTGCCAGACAGACAGTCGGTCAGTGAATAGAGAGAACTCGTTAGACAGAATAAAGCCGATGCCATGAAGCCGATTTTCTTACCTGCATCACCCTCCATCCGACACAAATGCTGACACCAGGCCTAACGAAATAAGGTTCTACCATCTGTTGCTACTAAGTACGCAGAACTTCCTGGAAATAATCAAGCTCCAATTTGCAATGCTTAATAGAGTATCTGAGCCAGATTTATCGAAGTAGGTTCAGCCATTATAAAGAACTGGTTCTAGAGAGGGGTAATATATATATATTTTTTTTTCAGACTAAGGACACAGCACAGCAGACTTTGCCACCATGTATGCAAGTTTTTTAGTTTATGAGACACGAAGATGTGTCCCTACAACATGGCACCAGAAAATGTTGAGCATGCGCTCCAACACTTTCAAGTGTTTGCTGCAACAGAGAAGCAATCTGCCTGATCCAACCTCAATAAAGACAATGATGTATGGTACAAAGGGAGATATCGACAGCACGATATCTTTCAAGGCTATTGGCTACCTGGAGTAAATTTTATGACAGAAACGTCGAATAAAAGGACGTAAACCTTTATGCTCTTAAGCATCTATTTTAATCCTAGTAGACTCCTGGAGATTTGATCATTGCACCTTTGGATAAAGTAATCTCTGTCCATACACCCTTTCTTTAGACGGCATATTTACAACGTAGCTTATGGTTGTAGTCTTATTTCATTACATTTCCTATCTTAACCTGATCCTCAAATGTTATCCTAGCATAATACCCAACACATATGCTAACACAATGTCGTTAGTGTGTATTTGTGGTGTATGCGTGTGACTGAGTTTTATCTGTTGACAGCGGTGGAGAGACATCATCCTTCAGTGGAACCCCTCTCACTACGACAATATCACAAACATCCGGATTCCCTCTAACAAAATATGGCTACCGGATATCCTGCTGTATAACTTGTGAGTATGGTTTTGTTTACAGAGGTTAACTACCGCTGCACATAGTCAACACTATATTGTTTAGTCTGCAGAAGTTAATTGTTCATGCACATGGTCAGCTCGGTCGAGTTCCAGTTTGCTGTCTATAGAGCTTTAGGCTGCAAAAGTTGACTGTCGCACCACAGAGTCAACTCTATACGGCTTTAGGCTGCAGAAGTTGACCGTCGCGGCACAGTTATATCGGTGCTTCAGTTTCATGTTTTTGCTCATGAGGAGTTTTTGTCTCATCATCATCATCGTGTAACAGGTCCTTTGCAGAACGTCGCTCTCATCACAGTCTGCCTGAAAGAAACTCGGTCTCTCGCGTTCTACCGCCTCATGCACTTTCACACTCAAGGAGTCACTTATATCCTGTGCCCATCTTCGTGTCGGTTGGCCCCTTCCCTTCCTTCCTGGTACCATGCCTTCTGCTATAATTTTTTCAAATCCGTCGTGGCGCTTGATATGACCAAAATATTTCAGCTTTCGAGAAAGGATGCTGTTTATTAGCCAATCTTCCTTGATGATTAGATCTTTTAAGATGTCAATATTTCTCATCTTCTTTGTCCAGGAAATTATGAGAATCTTTCAATAGCATTTCAGCTCAAAAGCCCCTATTCTCTTTCTTAAGGACTGAGAGAAAGTCCACGACTCACATCTGTATGTAGCCACAGGGAAGAAGTTTTTGTCTACACCTTGCAAAAATCTGGCAAAGTCAGCGTGCATCAAAATCCGACACATGTGTTTATATGAAGTCAGAAATTCAGGCGTAATCTGCTCGGACACACAGGCACACACACACGCACATGTGTACACAGACACATATGTACACACACACACACACAGGAAAACTAATTGACGTTTTAAGATGCAGAGATTGTACCTCACTAAATCGTTTTCCGATAGCATACTTTGGTTAGCTTCTCTCAGTGAAATAAATACTTTAAATCGTATTGAGAAATTTTAAAATATCTTCCCTCGTCTATTCCTGTCCTCTCAGACAGAATGCAGTGTTGCCTTTCCACACAGAAACCATTAGTTGATTCTGGAGAATGAGCTTGACCGGGTCTGGTTCAGTGCCCTGGGCTCGGTTACCCAGGCAACAAGTCGTGGACTTTATCCATCTCATCAAGCAACTGGTCTATAATATGGGCCGACTCTGATTTTGAATTTCGCTATAGAAATTGGGTCAGGGCATTCAGCACTGAATGCTGAATAAGTGTCTGGTCTCCTCCAGTTAGGGTCTAGAATTGGTAGGAGGAAATATCCTAACAAAGGGCTTTAAAACCAGTTGGACACATCATTCACTGACTCCGACAACCGCCAAGAATAAGGTACATCAAGAGAAAAGTGGTTACATCTGAAGCCCTGCCTGAAATATAGGTAACTGCACTGGGGCTGATATTGAGAATTAATCCAAAACAATTATATTTTTCTGGCTGGAAAAAACACAACTGTCTATGCTGCCAAATGTTTAGGGCGACGTAGATCAGGGCTGGGGTAGAGGCAGGAACACAACAGGCGGCAGGGAGCTGTCTTGAGTCTGACAATGGAGGACCGCATGGCTAATGCAGTCACCACAAACTGTGTAAGCTACTATTCTCTCCCCCCCCCCCCCCCCCCCGCGCCCGTTACAAAGCAAAATTAATAACTTTACCAACGATTCGAATTCGAGCCTCCTCAAAACGAGTGCTTGCTAAGCATTCCTAACCTCTCAGCCAACCGCTTCTCGAGAAACGAAAAACCAGGCCCAAATTCAACATTTCAGTCTGAGTAAAAATGCTACGTTTCTATTTATTTTCCTTGAATCGCTAATAACTTTCTAGTCATATGTATATGACAAGTTAGTGTCAGTTAAAGAGCCAATATTTACTTCCAGCAACCGCCAGTCATTTATGATTCCGTCAGCACAAGGGAACTACATGTCCCATGTGAAAGTAATCTAACAGCTGTTCATATTGTGTATATCTTCTTCTGTCTTCTTCTCTGTTCACCGGCTTTAAGCTCTGGCGGAAAGTCCTATTTGTTCCCCAATTTGGACTTTGGCTTTATGCCAGGACTTGCGTTTCGCATGTACATCCGTTTTACTGGCTTATTTATGTGCACTTGATTGTTCCTTGCCGCTCTAGCAGATGCACTTGGACTTAAAAGGAAGCTCCCAATTAGTCAACTCTTACGATATGCTTTATAGTGGCAATGGTTCTATTCTTGTGTTCTCACAACTGGGACCCTCAAATCACAGGGAAATGGGAAATGCTGCATGTATTAAAACAAAAATTTTTAAGTAAAAAAATGGAATATGCGTTGAGAAAAAACGTTCTGTGTAAATACCTATTAACCAGTGTGTTAAAATTCTGAATAATTCCATAAATGTTCACAGCAGAAAGCAGCATTAGCTTGAAAGAATCAATCCTAAGTTTTACAAATACATTGGATGTTACCTGCACACAAATGTAACCTGCAAAAATCAGTTTACTTCACATAGTGAAATATCAATCTTAAGTTATACAAATACACATTGGATGTTACCTGCACACACACACATGTAACCTGCAAACATCACATAGTAAAATGAAAAGTCTGGCTCAAATATTCCAGCCCGGAAATTGCCTTTACAATTCTCCGCTTTGCAGAACACGAAGTCTACACAGATTCCGGAGCTAATCCCTGGCAGTGGATGCGACCATCTAGTCGAGAGATTTGGTTAGATTAACACGGCCAGTATAAAAGGGGTATAGAGCGAGTGGAAGACCACGGAAACGATGGAGTGATGGCTCTTGAGAGAGCTCATCAACGAACGTTACATCTCCCCCCTATCCCCCCCCCCTTTTTTCCCTGACACTTCGATGAGGTACAAGGTGAAAGAGAAGAAGAAAAAGTATTGCAACAATTTTGTTCAGCTGGCACGAACTGTATACGGCTTTAGATGATCTTTGTTATCGTTCAACTAATTCGTAGAACACCAGTAGTCTGCACGTTAATCCGGAGAAACGTCAGTCTGAAGTTCAACTTCGGGTAATTGCAATATATGTTGTTTTCGCAGCATTAGTTTTGATATGATTCGCTAATTAGAACGTTTATGGAATAAGTTTCTAGGCATTGTGTAATGAAACTGGACACTGCAGATCATAGTGACACAATGTAATACAAGTAGTATAAGAACCAATTACGCACCGCATTTGAATCAATTTATGCTCAACCGCGCCCAGCTCTCTAGCGGAATTGGCTAAACCGGATTTCGCGGAGACCGGGTGACGTACTCCTTGTGGTCCGGGTTCAATCCCGGGGGTAGGCAGGAAAGCCACATTTTCTCCCAGATTTACGGTATTTACAATGGAATCAAGGCCGAAAGGTTGCGATATCCATAATACCGAACCTAAGGGTTAACAACTCAAGGCTTCTGGATACTAAAACAAACAAACAAACAAACAAACAATGCTCAACCGCAGATGGCAGCCGTCTGACGTCACAAGTGATCGGATTTTTTCCCAGCGGTTGCAACCGCCAGCGTCTTTATCCTTAGTAAATATCGATCAAGCGGTTGGTGAAGTCGCAAATGATTGGTTTTTCCAAGCCGGGGTAGGGCTTTAAAAATAACACAAATAGTACCTCCCATATTGGGGCGAAATTAGAGAAAAAGCATAATGCAAGCTAGAAATAATTGATGTAACCAAAATGTTATTCTATCAAACTATTAACCCCAAGATAATCTAGATAAAGGCAATGATTTGTTTATTTATTATTGAGAAATTAAGACGGTAGTTTAAAAAGACAAAAAATGTTAGGAAAGAAGACGTCATTTGCGGAATATATTCGTGTAAAGGTTAATTAATTATTATCCAGTAGTTTGTCATGCACAGAATTATTTCATTCCTTCATTTTACTCCTATCACCACACTATAAAAGATTAATACTTTAAAAAAAAAAAAGAAAGAAAAAGAAAGAAAGAAAGAAAGAAATTAAAGCTAGGCGTTTGTCTGTCACAAATCACATGCGACGCCTCTATTTCGGTCACGTGAAAATCTTCTATATCTCGAACAAATCTGCCCTGTTTCTTCTCAACTTCCTCGGAATCCCCATTCCATGTATAAAACTTCCCACAACTTCCTTAGCATTCTCCACGGCCCCATCTACCACGAAACTTCGTGTCTTCGTAACTCACTTTCCTCAGATAAGTCTTCACAATCAACTAGATAGGTATCGGTGTCTCACTGGCTAGATTTAATCAACTATATAATATTAAAAAACAAAATGATAAAACACATACGACGCCCTGGTATTGACTCGACTGCAATACTGGTAATTCCAGAGCTCGATAACGGGAAATGTGAGATCCGCAGAGCGAGACAATTTGCATATAAAGTTGTTATAATAATCAGACCATACAAGAGTCTCCTGTGAGTCTGGGAACTAGATTGACCGAAATAATTAAAAGAAATAAAAAAATAGATAAGCCGAGAAGTAAGTATGGACAAGCACCCAGCAGCTCCACACTGCCTTGTCATCGTGAGATGTGTGTCAGAAAAAAGCCAACATTTTCAGGATGGGAGGTTAGCTGGTTATCTATGAGTTATAAATGTCCCAAGGACAAGACGCAGTTGCAGACAGGTCTCTAACCGACCCTTATATACCAAAGTCCCAGTTGCAAATATTCAATGAAATGTGGCATTTATTAGTAGTTGTCCCCGAGAGACCACATATCTAGCCTAATCATCTCATTGCATAGGAACACAATTTACGTTTTTTAGATGCTTATTTCACAAACACTCATAGGAGTGGGAAATTTGAAGGAGTCAGCGTGAAATGGAAAGATAAAAGAATAGAAATTATAGACAACTACTGAATTATTGTGTACAGCACTGTTAACAAGCCAGGGTGATTTCGGAGAGAAGGTGGAGAGAAAGAAATGGAATATACCTTAGAGATACCAGGATATATATATATATATATCAGAATAATTTGCTAGACAGATACTAGCGACGGAGTCAGCAGATAAGAAGCTGGTTTAATAGATGTAGGAATACATAAATATGTGACGTTTTGGATGAATACATATATGTACGATGAATGGATAGATACATTAATGAATAATGACCTAATAAGTAGGTACTTAAATGGGTAGTAGCCCGGTTCTGCTGTACATTTTGATGTTGAAATGGTTGGGAATTTCTAAACGTGCTAATCGTACCTACACATCCTCCTTATGTTTGGCCGCTATTCAAGAACACAAAGCGTTCAATGCACTATCTTAGAAAGAAAAAAAAACCGGTTTAGGGTGGGGGGGGGGGGGGGGGGGGCTGGCGACCTCTGTCTGCTTTTTTCTAGAAATGCACACCGTCTACTAGGTGAATTCATAGCAGGTCTGCCAAGGACACAGACGCTGTTGATTATAATTAAATGTTTGCCATTTAGTCTAAGAATTTAGCGGCTGTCACCATCACAACGAGATAAGTCTCTGTGGCGAGCTGAGCAGGCCTGTTGACTCGTTCTATTCTCCCGGATGTAAATTCCTGCTGAAAGTCTGGGTTCCTCGTCCCCTCCTTGATTGTTGTCGTGTTCCAGATCTCGAATGTTGCGTGCTCATACTTCTACAGATCTGGCTTAATTGCATGCAGAGTATTGGTTCGCTGCCTCTCAGGCAGATGCACTCCAACTTCGAATGGCAAGTCACAAATTAGTCCACTTTTTCGACATGCTACTTAGGGAGCAGTGAATCTATCCTCCACTCCCCCCCCCCTCCTCTATGTCCAAGAACCCACACGAGGAGCCTTGTTCTCTGAAGACTGATATCGTCTATGGGCCCCTTGGTCACATGTGCAGGTGTTTAGAAGATATTTATAGATCGTTGCAGATAATATAGAGTTCGTTTTTTGTACAGACGATTTACCTTTCGTTCCGGGAAAAGGGGGTAGGGGGGGGGGGGGGGGGGGAACCCAGCCATTATCTGACGTAACAAAGTCAAATTTTTAAAAATTCACTTTAAATACTTTTTACCTTGCACAAGTAGAATGTGTTCAGCATTGATGTTTGGTGCCTTTCAGTGCAGATGATCGCCTACGGGAGCAGCGGGACGCCCTTGTTGTTGTCGAACACACGGGAGACTTATTGTGGATGCCTCAAGCGATTCTCAACAGCTCCTGCACATTCGACACACTGTTCTTTCCCTTCGATGATCAAACATGCCATCTGAAATTTGGTTCCTGGACTTACAACGGGGACAAACTTAACATTGATTTCATAGGTGATCAGACAACTGAATGATTGTATTTGTATTCGTTTCAAAGAAATTGACTGATCTGTGTACCACAACGTTCCATTGGTTGATATATTAGTGTAAATACACCACGTTGGATTGGTTCCTTTAATGTTTATGTCCAGTTAACGCAGTCTGATATTGGGCACAAAATGTGTAATGACATCAAACTGGTGTCTACTCCTATAATTTATATATTTATCATCATCATCATTACATGCCTCGCCGACTGGTGTAGTTGATTATGCCTCTTCAAGAGCTATGATCTTGAACAGCACGTATCTTTTCATGCACTCACGTCATTCAATGTCATGACAAAAATTTTTCGAATCTTTTCATGACGTTATCATCCCCCTCCCCCCCCCCCCCCCCCCCCCCCCCCCCCCCACCCCCCCCCCCCCCCCCCCCCCCCCCCCCCCCCCCCCCCCCCACACATATCATTCCAATACTCATAACATGCTCTTGTTTCAATTTTCCCCATAATCTGGCCAAAAATGAATGTCTTGTTCTGATGTATGTAACAAGCTGTCTTCGCGCCCTCGCCTCTTTCAAAACATTTGTGTTACTTATTTTGGAGTGCTAAAGAATCCAAAGGATTAGTCAATAAATATACATATATACGTATTTATACGTACTATAGAGCAGCATGGTGATAAAGATGACAATAATATTATGTGTATATGTGACAATACGCATTGTAACTTTAGGGTATGAGTGTACCTGTATACGAGTTTGTTTGTGCGGGATACCTGATCAGGCTCGCCACTTTGTTGCCCAAGAATACAAATGCGAAATCCAGGCTACGACCTGGAGAGACAATTCTCAGCGTTACACGACAGTATCGGGATACCTTGTAAACGGACTAGATCACACTGACTTTGCAGAATGATGGCTTGAGCCAGTCGATTAGCACTTGATGATGATGGGCAGTAGCATTGTAGTTGGAACTGTCTACATGTGTGTCCGTCTGTCTGCACTCAAACGTTTATCTATATCTACAGGTGGTCACCAGGAAATCAACCTGGACGACTACATGCAGTCCAACGAGTGGGACCTTGTAAAGAATGTCGCTGTCCGAAACGTCAAGTTTTACACGTGCTGCCCGGAGCCTTACCCAGACTTGACCTTCACGTGAGTTCGCTTGTCCGCCTTCTGTCGCCGTAATAGTAACCTCCCTCACGTTGCTCCCGATCATAACAGTCAAACAGTAGTATTATTCAATCACGCACTTCTGACTGTCAACAGTCCACTCCCAACTGTCAACTACCCACTCCCAACTGTCAACTACCCAATCCCAACTGTCAACTACCCACTTCCAACTGTCAACTACCCACTCCCAACTGTCAACGACCCATTCCTAATTGTCATGGCCACTTCTAATTGTCAGCTGCCCTATCTCAAATGTCTAGCAACCACTCCCAAGTGTCAGCCGTCTAATTCTAATTGTCAACAACACACTCCTAACTGATAACAAAACTCTCATAAAATCTTGAGGAGTACATAATCACTGTCTCGCTAAAAGCATTTAGTAAAATACGACATAAAACGATTTTCCCCCTAAGTCAGAGAGCACTGCCTGAGAGTCAAGGAACCAATAGTCTGCATACAAGTAATCTAATACTGTTAAACAGACTGCACATAAAATTCATGTTTTGGAACAAGATGGAAATCCTAAAGTGCACGAAAAACTAGAACCATTCGCCAGGCTTTACAACCGGTGAACGCCGAGCAGAAGCAGAGATCATGGGTTGTCTCCAGTGCTGACCAAGGAAAATTGGCAAGCCCATTGGTAACATTTGGAGGACACCAAAAGGTTGACCTCAGTAGGGGGCACAGATGTGGGACACTAGCATGGGAAGAGGACACCTCAAACTGGTCTGCTTTTATTTTTAACTTGCGCCTGTGTCGTGGTAAATTACTCTGTTTTTCTGTCTTGTTGTCCAAGTCTTTTTGTCCAAATGATTATACCGCAAAGCGTTGAAGAGGTGCGTTTCCTGTCTTTTGCGTAGATCGTGGTAATTTCATATTGCGTGTCAGTAGTGCCTCTTTTACTTCCTCCACCCATATCTTTCTTGGTCTGCCTGTTGACGTGTTGCCTGCTGTACTCATGTAATACTTTCTAGCTACTGGCTGATTTTGTTCCATTCTGACCAAATGACAAAACCATTTAGTTCTTTGATGTTCTATTAAATCATTGCTCAAGTAAGTTGATGAATATTAAATAGGATAAACTCAAGAAAAGTGGATAAATCAAAGAAATGTCTCGGCAACCGCTGGAAGCAAGACATATAGGACAAAGAAAACTGCAATATACTGGGCACATCGCGAGCAGAAGAGTACAGGAAATCACTATACAGGTACCGAAATGGGAAACAATTGTTTAAGGATACTAGGACGCCCAAAAAAAAACACAAAGAGGAACATAATGAGAGAGGCCACAGTGGCTGAGCTGGACTCTGTCCATAATACTGGAACAAATTCACAGGACACAACAGAATGGGAGAGTAAATTAACGAGCTCTGGATGTCGTCTAATCGCACAACAGAATGAGAGAGTAAATTAACGAGCTCTGGATGTCGTCTAATCGCACAACAGAATGAGAGAGTAAATTAACGAGCTCTGGATGTCGTCTAATCGCACAACAGAATGGGAGAGTAAATTAACGAGCTCTGGATGTCGTCTAATCGCACAACAGAATGGGAGAGTAAATTAACGAGCTCTGGATGTCGTCTAATCGCACAACAGAATAGGAGAGTAAATTAACGAGCTCTGGATGTCGTCTAATCGCACAACAGAATGGGAGAGTTAATTAACGAGCTCTGGGTGTCGTCTAATCGCACAACAGGATGTAGTGATGGTGGTAGTCACCAAGATGATGATGATTACGATAGTGTTTTTTGTAAACGTAGACCTAGTATGCATCACACTGCAAACACGTTTTCATGGGACAACATAAACTGGGCCTTTCAGGCTACAATGTGTGTTTCCACCATGTCGATGTGTATTGAGTTCTCTCACAGGCGTACATTAACACATAGCTGTAAGTGGTGTGGGTAGTCAACGCTTGACATATTGCTGAAGAATGCAAAGATTTGATCTATTTGATCATAATTTTTTTTTTAAACTAACTAACTCGCCGTAACTTTCAAGTAACATATTGTAAACGACTCATACTGTTGTAATCAGTAACAATTTTTATTACAATCATATCAAAGCGGTTGCTAACTATTTTTTTTTTTTCATTCATGCTTTTTATTGTTCTCGTGTTCACTCGTTCGTGCAAAGTAAACTTTATACATGTTTGTCTTCAGGTTACAGATGAAGAGAAAGGTAGCCTTTTATACTCTCATCCTCATTTTACCGTGTGGCCTACTTTCGCTTCTAACACTGGTCATCTTCTGGGTACCCCCTGAGTCTCCTGCCAAGCTGCAGCTGGGTGAGTGTTGGATGGGTTATTACCTGGATGAGAGTTGTATGGGACAATGACTCGGTGTGAGTTGTATTGGGAAATAATTGTGCGACAGTTGCGTGGGGCAATGAGTGGGTGAGTATTTGATGATGAAATGACCGGTTAAGTGTTGTATGGGCAATAAGTGGGTGAATTTTAGATTGAGCGATAACTGTTTTAGTGTTGTTTAGTATAATGACTGAATAAGCATTTTATGAGGCAATATGAGTGTTGTATATTACAATTACTGGGTGAGTCTTATACTGAGAAAAAACTGGGAGAGTTTTATGTGGGGGGAAAAAACTGGGTAAGTGTTGTATGGGAACTGGGTGAGTTTTGTGTAGAGCAGTAACTTGATTAGGGTTGTAAAGGTAAGTTTTGTATGAGGTACTATTTGGATGATAGTTGTATGGGGCAACGACTAAGTGAAAGTTGTACTGGGCAATAATTGTGCGACTGTTTCATGGGGCAATGAGTGGGTGAGTGTTGTATTGGCAATGAATGTGTGAGTTACGTTTTATATGGAATAATGAATGAATAAGGATTGTATGAGGCAATAACTGGATGGGTGTTGTATAGCAATAATCAGGTGAGATTTATACTGAGAAATAACTGGGTGAGTATTATGTGGGGGGAAATAACTGCGTTAGTGTTGTATGGGACCTGTGTGAGTTTTTTGTGTGCAAAGTAGTAACTTGATAAGGGTTGTATAGGTAAGTGTTGTATGACCTGACAACTTCGCGAGTGCTGTATGTAACAATAACGTTGGTGATTGCTCTAGTAATTGCTTCAGATAATATGACAGGATGCATTCTTCAGAGGACAAAATTGTATATTTAATTCAGAATTTAATCATTCAGTAAACGTATGAAAGAAATGACTAGCTGAGTGATGAAGAGAAAACAACCTATTGTTTAGGGCACCGTGTGACATAGTTTTCTCTTGTAGTACCATTGGTCGGAAGACCAGCATCAAAACTACCGTTACTTGCTCTGTCATCGTTCTGTTGCCCAGCTCGTGTTTAAGATCTGCTTATCCTGGAGACCTCACCATTAGATCTCTGATTTTTACTGTTGGCTGCCATGGTAAATTTCTTGGGTAATAATGTGGCAGTTTCCCCTGAAACCGTTGTAGTTTGCTATAAGTACATTGTATAGTGACTGCAAGTTTTATGACAGATGTAAGAGTTCTAATGAACTAACAGTTGCTAAGGATTAGAACTGGGGGAGAATTGAATGTTAGTTATGGCATTGCATTGGTAAGCGATGTGGAAGGTTGTATTGGATGTGTCTTTCAAAGGGATATAATCGGACGACAAATTTAGAATGATGGAAACGTCTGTTGATGAGCTACTTGTGAGACATTCTTGTACCTATGCATTGATGGACATATTTGTCTGCAGGGATGAACATTTTCCTTGCCTTCTTTCTGCTCCTGTTGCTGCTTGCTGACTTCACACCTAGGGCAGCTACTTCAATACCACTCATAGGTAAGCTGAACATTGCACATATATGCCCAGGTAACAGTCGCATCAGTAAGTAAATATTCTATTTTATTGTCACCCCTTTGTTGGATGCATTTTTTTCTTTTTTGAAACCCTACTCTGGCTCTTGCCAGGGGCCGCAATATAGCCCGGCCATAAATATGGTGTAATGGCTGAACACGGTGTCTGGGATCTCTCACAGTTGATCCTCATCCGCATGGTGGCACTTTGTGTTATCGCTTGTGTGATGTCCTGCTGGGGTAAAAGAAGATGGATAGATAAAGTAATCACTCTTTTTACAGTATATGATTGCTTTATGGATGTTAATGTTATAAATAACTCTGGGAATTGCTGGTTATTTCGTTATTTAGTCGACTGGATGGTTGGCTCGCTTTCTGGCTAGTCGGTCGCGGGTAAGGGTTTATTGTCATTCAGGCTGGTTGGCTAAATTATTTGATTCTTTGCTGGTCGGTTAGGTAGTTGTCAAATTGATTGGATTTAAGACTCGCTAGATGATGGTTAGGTAAGCCGTTTGCTATTTGGCTGACCATTTGACTTATTGGTAGTTGTTTTGCTGATAAAGTGGTTATGAATCATACATAATGTGACGGCCTTTCTGTATCAATTATTACACTATTTTCTAGCGCTCCTCGTCCTTTTTTTTTAGGATGAAATTGTTTGTTATTTGAAGCCCTACTCTAGCTCTTGCCATGGGCTGCAATAAAGCCTGGCCATAAATATGGCCTAAAGGCTGAACGCGGTTTCTGGGACCTCTCCACAGTGATCCTCACCCACATGGTGGCACATTGTGTCCTCGGGTGTTTATCGCTTGTGTGAATGCCTGGTGAGGTAGAAAGTCAGTCAGTATCAATTACAGTGCATCTGTGACTAGACTCTCCAGCAGAAGAAGCAAAAGTACTTCGTGCAGCCAACCGGTCAGCAAAACACTATCGTATTTTCGATAGTATATGTTCGAATCGCTGTGCAGTCACTACAGCTTTCCATTTCTAGTGTTTAGTGTGTCATCTAATCCAAGAGCACCAGAACCTCGGGGTCTCTAGGCTGAGCTGCACCTGTTTCTCTAAAACATGTGTGTTACATTCATAGCTGCCTCCTCCCTACCTCAAGCATGTGTGGCCTTGAATTCGCTTTTTTAAAGCGAATGCCCTATATGATGTTTACGAAAGATAATAGAACATAATTACTCCTTCCACTGTGCTGTCCAAGTCATCTAACGACAGCCATAGAAAGTACAGTTTGTGAGGTTGACTCTTTACTACTGCTTCCCGAGTGCTAGTTAACATTTTGTATAAGAAAACAACATCACAAGTAGCCAATATGAAGAGGGAATCGCACAAGTGAAACGTCCTAAAAGATTTATCTTCCAGCCTAGCTGGTTAAGGGAGAGGATTCGGGATGGTAGACATATGATTCCCTACATTTTCATATATAGTATATCAATGTTTAATATAAATTACAGTGGCTCGAGCAAGCAGAAAAATTCTCAGTATACCATCGACCAAGAAGAGGAAAGACATCGACATTCTGCACGAGTTAAACATCGAATTAAACTGGCTCGTAAACAGTGTCCTGTCCCAAAAGTTGAAGCATTTTGGCCACATGAAACGTCATGGTGTCTTGGAAAAGACAGTGATAGAGGATGCAGTTTGTTAAAAGCGATGCAGGGGTCGACCTCTGCGGAGATGGATATCGGATATTAAAGATGTATAATCATTGAAATCACGTAGGGCTGGATAGCTGAACGGGGAAAGGGATACGTTCAGGCCTACCCTGAGGAGAGCGACATTCTGTAAAGGACATGCTAATTGATGATGATGAGCTATTGCTCACTGACATACACATGAATACAGTTAAAATGAATTCTACAAAACAGGAAGAGATATCAACAAATATTACATTTAATCCGGAGAAGTAAATCAAATAATGGGACTGGGGAGATAATAATGGTTGACTTCTTTGTGTAAGTGTAAACTCATCGGTTGTCCTGGATCAGGCTTTGGGCTCCACAACCCCTTGCAGACACACTTCTGGGCAGGCTGAATCCTTTGTGCCAGTATAGACAATCACCTGCGCTTGCAACTCCAGCTGATCTCCACCTGGAGCTAGAGTAATTGAACAGTCTCTGTAGAAGAAGTTAGAAAAGTTATGACTGAAGGCCACACTAATTTTAGTACTTACATACTGGTACATCATATACACATATGGAGTAGGGTAGTAACATGTTTTTCTATATTTAAGTGGGGTAAAGAATGGTTTTTACTGAACAGAATCTATACTTCTAATGGAAAATTGTGGGAGAAATATTTCACCCACCTCAGTTTTTCGAAGATATTAATTCCACGCACACGAGGTTAACATCACTAAGAGAGAAAACATTCAATTTTACATTAGGTCTCCTTTCAGGAATTAAAATTCTTTAACACACAAACACATTTCAAAATGTATTCTTATTTCAACCACATGGGTCCACATCACAAAGAATGGGAATCAGGGAGTGAATCTACGTGGATGTGAATCTGATAACGTGTGAGTTAGGCAGTTTGAAAATGAATGAGAATTATAAATATCTTAAGTCAATCCAACTTTAGCAATGACTATGAACTCAGGTATATTTGGTCAGTTAAGGAGGGAAGACAAAACCGTCTCTTTACTAAAACATGTATTTGAAATGAAGTGGGAAGACTAAAAAGGAGGAAGTAACCCTGAGTTGATCTTCTGAATTTTTACTCGCCCTTTTCACTTTATAATTTATACATTTATAATATTGCTATTATGAAGCGATAATTAATAGGTAAGAAACAGTAGTCCAGGCCAGCTTGTCACAGCTGGTATAACAGTTATATGTATTATTGTTTTGTGTATACCGACATGTTATTTGAAATATATTGTTATACTTATTTAGCATTATCTGAATTATTATGATTATTATTATGATTATTAACTTTACCTTTAACTTAAACTTAAGCTCCTCGTGTGATACTCGGGCCTCAAGGATTCCCCAGTAATAGCCAAACCTGTATATTTATGAAAGAACAGACAATTTATAATCTCCGATATCTGATATTTCTTTGAGTAAACCCAGAATTTTCTAAAAAAATCCAAGAGTTCTAATTCTCTGCAGAGTGTGTTTGTTGGCCCACTCTCGAGTACTCAGAGTTATATGTAGTTCACAATAATCTGCATGAACAGATAACAATTCATTGTTTATGATTTGGATTGATTATTTTAGGGGCGTATTTCTACACAACAATTATTACAAGAGCTTTTTTCTGAATGAAATCATGATCACATTAATTATTGCAGGAACTTTTTTCTGCCAGAGCTTAATCATGATCACATTAATTATTACAGGAGCTTATTTCTGCCTGAGCTTAATCATGATCACATTCATTATTACAGGAGATTATTTCTGCCTGAGCTTAATCATGATCACATTAATTATTACATGAGCTTATTTCTGCCTGAGCTTAATTATGATCACATTATTTATTACAGGAGCTTATTTCTGCCTGAGCTTAATCATGATCACATTATTTATTACATGAGCTTATTTCCACCAGAGCTTAATCATGATCACATTAATTATTACATGAGCTTATTTCTGCCTGAGCTTAATCATGATCACATTATTTATTACAGGAGCTTATTTCTGCCTGAGCTTAATCATGATCACATTCATTATTACATGAGCTTATTTCTGCCTGAGCTTAATCATGATTACATTATTTATTACAGGAGCTTTTTTTCTGCCTGAGCTTAATCATGATCACATTATTTATTACAGGAGCTTATTTCTGCCTGAGCTTAATCATGATCACATTAATTATTACATGAGCTTATTTCTGTCTGAGCTTAATCATGATCACATTAATTATTACATGAGCTTATTTCTGCCTGAGCTTAATCATGATCACATTATTTATTACAGGAGCTTATTTTTGCCTGAGCTTAATCATGATCACATTAATTATTACATGAGCTTATTTCTGCCTGAGCTTAATCATGATCACATTATTTATTACAGGAGCTTATTTCTGCCTGAGCTTAATCATGATCACATTATCCACGGTGCTTGCATGTATTGTAGCCAACATGTACTTCCGGGGCATACGGGTTAACAGAGCACCAAGATGGCTGCGATCTGTGAGTTTTATTCTGGCATTACATACATATATACATGTCTTTCTGTGTGTGTGTGTGTGTGTGTGTTGTGTGTGTATGTGAGTGTGTGTGTGATATGTTTTTTCTCTGACATCCAGGTTTTTATGATTTTGTTTAGCTGGAAGCTAGTTTTGTATGTTATTGCTTAATAACCCCAGTTGGATGTATTATTGCTTACTGTCGAGTTTTGGCTATCCTCCAAATAACGGACGGTAAAGATGGCGGCCGCAAAATATCCTGACGATCCACAGTCACGTGTCATGTGTTGTAAACATTCAAAAATTGAAGTCAAAACTAAGCAACGAAATTTTTTTTATATCAAATCGATTAACTACCGATAATTTGGCTATCCTCCGAATAACGGGCGGTAAAGATGAAGTCAAAACTAATAAGGAACGAAAGAAATGTTATATTAAATCGACTACTTACCGATAATTGTATGCCTTTATATCTGGATTTTATGGCACAGTAGTTGTTAATAGTGCCCGAAAATCTGCTGTTTGTGCCTGTTACGCCATTGAAACTCGGCTAAGTACGATCGGAACAAGGCGCGGCTCGTACCATATTGGTAACTCAGCTTTCTCTTTAGTAACATCCACAAACCGGTTTCCTCCGAAAAACAGCACAAAAGATGACGGCTAATGGCGGCCAAAAACAGGGCCTCAGTCACGTGTCACTTGCGGACTTCCGGCGACTTAATTTGCGCTTTTTCGGCAACTACTGCCAATGCTGAGAGTGGCCCTCACGCCGCTCACGTGGCGTGGACTGGGGCTAAACTAGATGGCTAGGACTCACGAGCGAAGCTGCAAGAGATGCGGAAGCTGCTGCTCGTTGTTCCCAGCCATCTAGTTTAGCCCCATCCGCGCCGCACATAGCGGCAAAGACTCTCGGCGGCGAGTTTAACTCGGCGGTTTGTTCCATTTCTTGAAATTTTCAACAGACACTAATCCTAGTTTTCCCGCGATGTGCTCGTGACCACTAGTGTGCAACTGACACGTGACTGTGGCTCGTCAGGATATTTTGCGGCCGCCATCTTTACCGCCCGTTATTCGGAGAAAAGCCCGAGTTTTTATATAATTCCTTACTTGCATCTAGTTTTGATTGTTATAGTTCCTTGGCAATTAATTGAGCTGATGATGATGTTTATTGACATCCAATTGTATCTGGATAGAAGAAGACAAAGCAGCAGCAGAAGAAGAAGAAGAAGAAGAAGAAGAAGAAGAAGAAGAAGAAGAAGAAGAAGAAGAAGAAGAAGAAGAAGAAGAAGAAGAAGAAGAAGAAGAAGAAGAAGAAGAAGAAGAAGAAGAAGAAGAAGAAGAAGAAGACAAAGCAGCAGAAGAAGAAGAAGAAGAAGAAGAAGAAGAAGAAGAAGAAGAAGAAGAAGAAGAAGAAGAAGAAGAAGAAGAAGAAGAAGAAGAAGAAGAAGAAGAAGAAGAAGAAGAAGAAGAAGAAGAAGAAGAAGAGGAAGAAGAAAAACAACAACAACAACAACAATAACAAAAACAGCAATTGTCCTATTTTGCGTGCTCATTTTCTTGAAATGTCCTCGTGTTTTTTTTTTTTTTTTCAAATTTATACATTTTTTATTATTAGTAATATAGATCAAAAGATCCATAAAAAAAATTGTGAGAGATGAAATTGTCAACAAGCCTGAATTCTGCAGTTTCTGCCAAACAATCCAGAGGCATTAGAATGTGAGACCATTTCCGGAAATGATAAAGGTTTGCAATAAAAAAATAAAATAAAAACTACAACAATAACAGAAGAATACAAATGATAACCCAAAAAAAAAAAAAATGCAGTGTCTCTGTTATAGCAGCAATAAGTCTCCACACGTCTATGTCCACAGTGTATCATAGACGGAGCAGCCAAACTGCTGTGTGTGAACGAAGTCATTCAAGAGAAATCCACGCAGCCCCCAACGACGCCCAGGAAAGTTTGGTCTACCTACGTCACTGGCGTCAGGAGCCAATCGGATCCGGAGACTCTGGTGGCCAAAATACATTTATTGGATCGCCAATCTGGCAAGCGGCCTGATATACGGGATTATGGCGCCTTTAAGGTGAGGTCATCTCTTAAATGATAAACCCGTTGTGGATCATATTTGAGGCAGATCCTCATATTTTTGGGTAAAATGGCCATATGAAGGGGGGGTTTAAAAAACGCCGGTAGAAGGAGATTATTCTCATTAGCTGCTGTTTGAAGCACATTCATATTGTGATATCAGAAAGATAATGGAATTCCTATTGAATTCCTTGCATTCATTAGAATGATCTGCCGTTCTTCAGCAAGCCAGATGAGATGACGAGGTCAGTCAGTCAGATGGCGCTTCTACAATTAAGGTTGCTTTGTGCAGAACAGGAACATTCATTCACCTTTTCTGCTGCATACACTTTCTGCTATACTTCTGCTGAACGTCCATCTTGTCGATATATTTCCACTTGTTCGCTGTCAACCTCTTGCTCAGCCCCTTGAAATATTCTTTGCTTTTATAAAAATTTATATTTTTAAAAATCATGTAAATAGTTCATTTGTCATTATTAATTTCCTCGATTAGCTCTCCTTTTATTTCAGATATCTATAGAATTTATGTATGTCGTTGAATTTTCCCGCGCCATGAAATGCATAGGTAGTAAGTAAAGGAAAGGAACTTTTCCCCCGCTTTCAGGCGTAATGGGTATATTGGGCTAGATCTTATTTTATAGACCAATCGGTAGGTGATGTGGTCAACATCACGCCGGCCCCCTTTTCTTCCCAGGACTTTACCTGGTACCTGTGTGTCCGTGAATAAAGAATTAGTATTGGCACACATTTCTCTCTACCTGTTGTCTCTATGTGTGTATGTGTGCGTGTTTATGCGTGTGTGCGTGGGGTAGGGGAGGGGGGTAGCACGGATATGGCTTTCGTGGATTTCAAATTTCCGGATTACAAGAATTAAATGCAATGTCATATTTTAGGAACGTTTATTACAATTAATTCCCAATCGCTGGCACTTTACTCCCTCTTTCTGTCTAGCTGTTGTTTCTTTTATGAGCCTCTTTTACATTCTCTGCCTGTCTGTCTGTCTGTCTGTCTGTCTGTCTGTCTGTCTGTCTGTCTGTCTGTCTGTCTGTCTGTCTGTCTGTCTGTCTGTCTGTCTGTCTGTCTGTCTGTCTCTCTCTCTACCTCTCTCTCTCTCTCTCTCTCTCTCTCTCTCTCTCTCTCTCTCTCTCTCTCTATTTCTTTCCTTCCTGCCTATATTTGTGTGCGTAGCTTTAAGATTTGTATTTTAAATTAAGAAAAACATTAATCTTGGCAGGTAGAGATGTGCACATTATAATTTTGTGTATCTTAATAGTATTAAAGAAAAGAAATGCACAATACAATTATTATGTGTATAATCATCATCATCATCACCATAAAATAACATTGGTAGTGCATTTCACACAACAAGGAAGCGATGGTGATGATGTTACTGATGATGATAATGATATCTAATGACAACGATTTCAGGAGGTGACCAGTGACCAGTGCGAGCCTCAGCCGTCAACATCAACTGCCTTCCAGAGATTCTCAGCCTCAGCCAGAGACTCCCTGTCCAGCAGTGAGGACTCCCTGCTACTGGAGGAGGTGAGTTTACTTTTGTTGCATGGTTACAGCCTCCAAGAACAGGGGGGGGGGGGGGGTGAAGGAGGTGAGTCTTCTTTTGTTGCATGGATACAGCCTCCAGGAACAGGTGGGGTGGGGGAGGGGTGGAGGTGAGTCTTCTTTTGTTGCATGGGTACAGCCTCCAGGAACAGGTGGGGTGGGGTGAAGGAGGTGAGTCTTCTTTTGTTGCATGGGTACAGCCTCCAGGAACAGGGTGAAAGGGGGGGGGTGAAGGAGGTGAGTCTTCTTTTGTTGCATGGGTACAGCCTCCAGGAACGGGGGAGGGGGGAGGGCGGTGAAGCCAAGCATTGTGAGCACAGAACAGTACATTGGAACACAGAAAGAAAAAACGGAAGAAAGGACCGTTTTTTACGCATGCGTGTCCTGGGCACTTGTCCGGGGGCCCCACTTTATTCTGGCCCGATGCTAATCTGTGTAATGTTTAGTGATTTGCCATTTGGAAACAGATCTTACCTGTGAGTGATTATAGTAGGGACCTCAGAACACTGGTTTTGCTAGGGGCCTATACGGCACTGGCAGTAGACTTACCTTACAACACTGTTGTTATTATGAAGTAGAATATACAAAATCGCCTAACTAAATTATTTCAGAGAGAAATCCGCATATCTGACTGGAAAGCTGAGCCTCTGACATGTGTGTATGCGTGCGTATGTGTGTGTGAGTGTTTGTATGAGTGTGTGTGTGAGTGAGTGAGTGAGTGAGTGAGTGTGTGTGAGTGAATGAGTGAGTGAGTGAGTGAGTGAGTGTTTGAGTGAGTGAGTAAGAGTGAGTGAGTGAAATTCCAACAGACCGACTGGCAGAAATATCGACACTGAAGCCAACAGAATTGACATATGTTACTAGAACTACCAAAGGAAGTAAACAGTGTTGATCCTGAACTTACCAAACATGTCATAAGAGGCTAATAAAAAGGACTGCAGTTAGGCTAGCTACCAATCATATATCAACCAATCATATATCAATCAAAATGAAACAGAAAAGAAGTTCAGACAGTTAAAATACGAGTAGAATGTTCTCGAAAAATTCTGAAGTGGTGCTGAGACAACTGGCAGAGGTGTGATTTACAGATAGATCTCCTTGCAACTGGTATTATCTCAACAATTGTTAGAGAAAATGAGACACTGAGATAAAGAGGAAAAATAAGGAAAATCAGTGAAGGAGTTAGGGGGCGTGGCAGAGCGTAACTCCTCTTGGTGTCAGCTGTAAGGAGCCTGCATTCTGTGGGAAATAGAAACAACGAGATGGTTTGACATGCAATCATTAGGTGTAGGTACAAACAACTGGCTGGTCTGGGGTAAAGATATTTAATATGTGCTGAGAAAGAGAGAAGAGAGAGGGAGAGAGAGAGAGAGAGAGAGAGAGAGAGAGAGAGAGAGAGAGAGAGAGAGAGAGAGAGAGAGAGAGGGAGGGAGAGAGAGAGAGTAATCAATGTCATCAAAATGTGTATCTGTATTCGCAGATTTCCTCCCTGCGGGAACTAATGGACGAGGAGCTGGCGGTCACAGAGAGTTTGGAGGAGAGTCAGAAGCACATCCTGGAGTGGAGAATGATTGCCTGTGTGATGGACAGAATATTCTTCACTTCTTACATCACAATAAACATTTTAGGATTGTCCGGTCTTCTTCTGCGCAATTATCTCTTATGATAATCATTATTTTCGTCAATTTCCACTTACTCCGTTAGGCGGCGTCGGGAGGAACAGTTTGCGATCCAGTGCTTGATGGACACAAATGGCTGTTGTCATCTATCTCCTTGCTTACACTTCAGCTCTTTTCATGTTTAGCGCCTGCGTTGGTAGTTGTTCTTGCTGCATTCTTTCTGGGTAACCAAACCATTTGATTTTCTTCTTCTCAATGAATTGGCTGCATTGTATTCTTCCTATAGTCTGATAATATTATTTTTATCTTTGTCTCAGATGGTTAATTTGACGATTTTTCTCAATCATTTAGTTTTCCCAATGTTAATTTTTACTTAGATTAGCCTTGGCAATATCTAAGTCAGGCACTGGTAGCACAGTGTTGGTATGAATAAATGTTTATGTATCTTGTTGTTTATACCATCATATCATCTCGTATTATATTATCTTATAAACCAATTTAAAACGATGTCTAAAACAATGGATGAAAAGACTTAAGGACCTACAGATATATCATATAGTCGGATCAATTGCTTACATTGAAGAACAACTGTGATTAGTCGATGCTGCACTGAATCGAATTCTTCGTCCCAGATAATTTTTTTAAGCACTGTTCAAGAAAGACACATTCACATAATTTAGTTATGTTGTTGATGTTTCTTCTGTCTTTATCTTCTGTCTTCTTCGACTTATTCTTCAACTCCACTATCATCTGTGATTGGTACAACATATAATTGTTTGCAACAGATTATTTCTTGCTGTCTTTATTCAACAGTGAGCATGTGAAAAAGAATGTTTCTCTCAGATTTAATGACTGTTTTCAGTGCAGAATAATTTTTTGCATACTTCGAATTTCTCAAGGTTGTGGGGGTGGGGGGGGGGGGAGGGGGGGATTATTCATGAAAGAATGATGTTGAGTGACATAGCTAACTCTGATGCTGAGCACCTCCATCACAGACATGGTGCTAAACCTGCTCAGTGAGCACGTCCCTCACAGACGTAGTGCGTAGCCTACTCAGTGACCATGTCCCTCACAGACCTAGTGCTAAACCTGCTAAGTTACCACCTAACTCACATACGGAGTGCTAAACCTGCTCATTGACCACGTCCCTCACAAACAGACTGCTAAACCTGCTCAGTTACCATGTCCCTCACAGACCTGGTGCATAACCTGCTTAGTGACCACGTCCTTCTGGCACTCAGTGCTAAACCTGTTAGCTGACCACGTCCCTCATAGACGTAGTGCTATACCTGCTCAGTGTCTACGTCCCTCACAAACATAGTGCTAAACCAGCTCAGTGATCACGTCCCTCGGGCACTTAGTGCTAAACCTGTTAGCTGACCACGTCCCTCATAGACACAGTGCTAACCTTGATCCGGGACCAAGACCCCGATATACCTAAACCTTTTAAATGAAGCAATCATCCATAGACTTGTCACCTTAAGGTTGCTATTTGAAGTTTTCAAGTCTTAGATTTAAAAAGAAAATTCCAAACTGAATAGCAGATCAACAAGGCACATCCAAATATTCATCTAAACCGAGAAAGAAGTTTTTATTGGAGCATCTACAATGGCTACACCAGCCCGGGGTAACATGCAATCCTGTGCGGGTGATCACGAACGCAAAATACTGAAAAATTATCTTTTACAACACTGTTTGCCTCGATATTTTCCCATAGTAAGGGAGGAAATTCGTGACATCTTTGTAATTTTTTTCAGTTGTATCCCCTTGTCCTTCAAATATGCAATGCATTTTTTTTATCTATCTATCTATCTATCTATCTATCTATCTATCTATCTATCTATCTATCTATCTATCTATCTATCTATCTATCTATCTATCTATCTATCTATCTATCTATCTATCTATCTATCTATCTATCTATCTATCTATCTATCTATCTGTCTATCTATCTATCTATCTATCTATCTATCTATCTATCTATCTATCTATCTATCTATCTATCTATCTATCTATCTATCTATCTATCTATCTATCTATCTATCTATCCCTCGATCTGTATATTTTCTTCTTTCTGTAGTTATATATGTATCAAATATATGTCTTACTGTGCCCGGTATTTTCACCTGTCAGCTATAAAACACACTTATCCAATATTGTTTTTCTAACTCGCATGTTTCTATTGGTGTCTTCGCTGCCAGATGTGGCCACTGTTAATAGCAATATGTCTCATTGTTAACATTTGATTGACATGTCATGTAGATTATGGACTGGCAGTTTACCACATTTGTCAATGATTGATATTGTATGTGTTTATCTACAACAGGACAAATGCATGTTTACATTATAAAATAAATGTTGTGTGTGCGAGAGTGAGATAGATAGATATATAGAAAGATAGAAAGAGAGATAGAGAGAGAGAGAGAGAGATAGATAGATAGATAGAGAGAGAGAGAGAGAGAGAGAGAGAGAGAGAGAGAGAGAGTAGGTGTGAGTGTGTATTTATGTGTACGTGTGTGAGAGAGATTGGGACTAACAGCAGAATGAAAGGTAAGTCTGCTCGCCGAGTTTCTGGACCGCTACGCAATAAAGTTGAGTGGTTCAAAAGTGTGTTGCTTTTCTAACTGGGGACATTATTGTTGTTGTTGTTGGTGGCGGTGTTGTTGTCGGTGTTGTTGTTGCTGCTGCTGGTGTTGGTGGTGTTGTTGGTAGTGGTGTTAAACTTTTCAATCCAGCTTCTTATTAAAATTTTCAGCTTTATAGTGGGTTGCTAGATAAATCTGTTTACAACATCTGATGTTCCAGGTTAAATCTCAGATTTGTGTCCATTTACGTTTGATCTATCTATGTAATCAGCAGGTTAGTCATTATCAAATACGTGTGTTTTGGCACTTTTACGTCTTTTCAGACGATAGTGTTATATTGTGCTATATGAGGAGGCATGAGACTCACAGCCCATGGCGATGGCGAGTGTGACTAGCAAGACCTGCCCGGGTTAAGAAATGTTCCACAAAATAGGGAGCGCCCCCTTGCAAAAGTGGACCCCGATTTCAGAAAAACCCTCGCCAGCCGGGATGCCCCAACTGCTCCGGAGCACACAGCGCGAGATACCTGGGCTGCCCTTATCTCAAGAAGTGCAGGAGAGCACTGACAGCTGCCGCCACCAACAGAGAAATACCTCACCAAGCGGCAAAAAAGAGGTACGAGGCGTCCAGCACAACCATAAGTCAAGAAGAAACAAGGGGCGTCTCTGTTGCAGACCTAGCAAAGATCCTTAGCGAGTTAGGGCTGATGAAAACCGAGATCGAAGCCCTCAAGAAAGAAAAAGCAACGACCGATTTTAAGAGAGCTGAGGAAAGGGACGAGATGACGATCCTCCGAGGTATCCTGTAAGAATCACTTGAGACCCAGAAGCGACCGGAAGCGGAGGCGACAGATATAACGCACTTCAGGTCTAGCGTAAGGCCCTGCTAACAGCAATCAAGCTACAGAAGGAGCAGAATGAAGTAATTGCCAACAAAGAGGAGACCAAACGCAAAAAGCAGCACCACGCAATGACTCTACTCTTGTCAGAAGTCACCTCAATTAAGGAAAAGCTGACATCCAAAGACGCCAAACTATCCAAAACCAATGCAGAAATTCGCAATTACAGATGGATTTGCAAGCAACCAATTAAATTATTGAAACAAGAGAGAACGCCAGGAAGGAAGCGTCGACAAGACAACAAGCCCAGACACTCAAAGCAAAGGAATCCGACACCCCCAGTAAAGAAGATAAAAATCTCATGCAGGAGTTGGAAGATGTCAAGGAAGGCATTAATGACAATTTCTAAGTAATGTTTAAAGAAGTCGGATATCTCAAGGAAGTTACCTGACAACTGCAACTAGCAAGCATTAGGAACAACAAAAAGAAAATAGCTACTTACTTACGAGGAAACGGAGCCCACGCAGCGAAGTAAACAGATACGCGCGATAACCCACAAACAAACTGTCCTTTTTAGGGTAGTTTACGATCCCCTCCCTAAACACAGATACAAAACAGGAGACAGTATCACCTGACAAATAAACTGAAACAAGTGTCACCATACGTAGCAAAAAAAAAAAAAAGCCAAGATAAAGCCGTTGCTCATTCTAGGAGCTGGCTGAAATTGGCAAGAATGTTTTTAAATCTTATCCAGATCTAGATCCAATGTTCCACAATTATGTCATAGGCTTTCAGAACAATTGTTATCAACATTTGTGTTTACCGTGTTTCGTCTCAGATGCTTAGCTCTCATCTTTTCTGCAGTCATTTCTTCCTTCATTGTTATGCCATTTCTGATTTGCACCCTTCACAGAAAACAGTCCATGATATGTTGTTTCCACGAATCCACCCTAATACCTGAATCAATCATGTCCCGCTGGCATATCTTTATATCGCAGTAGAGGTCAGCCCATCTGTAATTAACCATGGAAGATTTTCTTTTCAAGATATGACCCAGCCAGCCTGTCTGTGTGTATTCGTGTGTGTGTAAATGTTTGTCTTCACATGTATGTGTGTGTGTGTGTGTGTGTGTGTGTGTGTGTGTGTGTACAGCACTCCTGTCACATTTCATATTTGGATTTAGTAACTCGTTTCTGTGGCTTATTTAGTTATGTATTCATCTATCGTTACTTCAACATCGTCGCCGATGCCAGCCCTAATGTATTATCTTTAAATGCTAGCAGCCTTGGCTCTATGCTCCGTAGTCGGTGCACGAATGTCAGACACTAGATGTTCACAAAGATGTCAGACACTAGATGTGCACAAAGATATCAGCCACTTCATGTGCACACATATGCTAACCATAAGATATGCACACATATGTCAACCACTAGATGTGCATACATATATCAACCACTAGATTTGCACACAAATGTCAGCTACTACCTGTGCTCACAGTTGAAAACTACTACATGTGCACACAGTTGTTAATCACTACATGTAGATGAAGATATGGACACAGATGTCAACCGCTAAATGTACACACAGGTATAAACTACCTCATATGCACACAAATGGCAACACT